ATGGGAGCCAAACCCCTCGAAACTTCGAAATCTCACCGTATAGCAATCCCACAGCCAAAGAGGCAGACAAAACAGTAGCATATATTCCCTGCCGAACCTGAGCCTACCAGGGTTCTAGTTCTCCTACTACGGTTTTAGTCCTCTGAAGACTGATTTTATACTCCCGTGGTTGAGACTGCCTAGGAACAGACCCTAGCCAGTAGCTTCACCGATTTTACCGGCGTTGATGCCCGGAGGAAATCGTCCATAAGGAGAAAATCAGGACCAGGATCGTTTAACCATTACAGAACGGCCTTTAATGACGTGCAGTTGGGAGCGATATCCCATTGAAATTGTCGTCCATATCATGATGTATTTCCATGTATGTATGATCATGTCCATACCATGATCTAAATGTGTAATGTTCAATTATAAGACTGGTTCCGCATACCTCATTCTCTCCAGATCTTTACATGCTAACTATCTGAGTAGTGCAGTGCATATCTGGTCATGAATTTGGCCTTTCTGGATTCAGTGGTTAGCGGAATACAGACGTTTAATACTCAGGCTTACATTTCCTTCATGTAAACCTTCGACACATAGTATTTGGCAGATATACTTTACCATGTAACGCTGCAACCATGTATGTAACAATTCTGGAGGACTCTTATCAATTCTGCTTAGCCACTATAGCAATAAACCGATTTTCAAAAGAGGTGGTCACTCGGACACAGGTCGTCGTATAGTAGTTTGACTTGTTTGGATTTTTCCCCAGTTTGAGAAAAGATAAACTTATCAGGGGCAAAGACAAGAACGACATCTTTGACTGACTATCCTGTTTCAATTCGTTCGACAGCATCCTAGCGCTTATTATTCATCATTCGTCTTCTTTCAGTCAAAGCAACATGAATATCATTAAAAACTATTTGACGAAGGTTATAAACATTTTATATTAGAATTTAAATTAATCTCCTTCAGTATGTTGGCATCTTCAGCGTCTGTAGCTTATGTTTGAACCGTTACAGCCAATTACAGCCAATTACATAAGACTGGACCGTTAAATGTAATTGGCTGTAACATAACGATGCTTGTATACTGCCCTCTGCATTCGCGGCGATTTTCAGCTACTCAAATTCAATAACGCTTTCAAAAAGTGATAATATGCAGTGCGTGTTTAATTTGTAAAAACTAGCTTATGTTACATCATTTTCTATAGAGTGTCTAAAATTCAAAAACAGCAAAGAATATTGAACCTAAACTGTCTATAAATAACATAACAATCTTGTATTTAAAGCAAAAATGTTTGATTAAAGTGACCTGGAAATGGAACAAAAGAGATAAATTATTTTTAAATGAAACTAACCTCAAAGGATTAATTTCAATAAAACTTCACGTTTAATTCATGTGAGTACAATACAGCATTACTGTAAATAAAACTCTGTAGTTTTAAAAGTATTACTCACATAATGAAAATTAAGAAATGATGCATTAAAAGAATTGAAAACTAACTTAACCTATTTTTGGACCATATACCATAAATACTCTACATTCTCCGCTGGTCATATCAGTTTTCTTAACTTTTTGTCCACTAACGAGCAAGTAGTAAAGTCGCAAATTTGGTAGTTGTAAGCGAATGTAAACTCCAGGGAATGGGCTGATTCCATGGGTGGTTTCGTGATTTTTCCTATGAGATACAGACGTGTCTCTTACAAAGTTATCCCTTTCCTTTTCCTTACGCAGGCAGCCCTAGTGTGCTTTCTTTAGTCGAGTCTAATCCACCGCCGTGTAGGCTTCTTGACTTGACGCCATGTCATTCCTTCCTTTGCATATTTGTTAAGGACTTTGTTTTCGTTCGTACCTCCTGCTTTGCTGAAGACACCAGTGCAGCACAGGGGACGTTTTGATTTTGCTATGACGATCACAAACAAGGAAATGTTGTAAAACAGATAACCAAATTGCCTCCAGAATTTGACAAGGGACCTCCAAAATTGTTACATACACGGATGCAGATGGCAGAACAGATATTCTATCCGCTTGCGAACTAATTCAAAAAACCGGTTCACTTTACTGAGTGAGCGAATTTGATTCGACAAATGGAGCGATAAGTTCAGTTCCCAGGTTAGGGAAAAATGGAAAGTTTCTCATCCCATATTGAAAAGTAAAATTAATTTTGATCGTTCCCCGATTTTCTGAATAACTTTTATTCTATAATGTTATTGTTACTTCTATGTAGGAAACCTATTTTAGGGAATCGTTAAACTATAGTTGAGAGAAATCAATGCTGTGTGTTAAAGGTTTGATTGGGTCGATTACACGCACCGTTCGATTCTTTTTAATGTTCGCTCCAACCTCGCACACCGCTTTTGATTCATTCCTTGTATATCCATTCAATGTCTATTCTTATACATCCAGGGTAATTATGAGTCTTAGAAAAATGCCGATTTAGTTTAGCGAACGAACGTTTCTGTCCTGATCCAATACAAGTGTGGTTTTGTCCACATCTAAACGAGGCATAGTACATAAAGCATTTGTAAGCGTGTGGAACAAAACGTGGTGAACTTCCGGCTCTTTTTACGCATGAGGTTTATTGTTTGTATATTGTATAACACTTTAAACAAAATGTGATATTTTGAAATCCGATGAATTATTTATTGTAGTGCCCTTTATAATATGAAAAATCCTATATAATCTTATTTTAGAATTATTATTTGCAATATTTATTGGTTATTTTAAAGATATTTCTATGAGCTCAAGTAATACTCCAAATAATTCACTATCATTAACGTTACACTCCATCCTATGTAAATTTTCCTTATTGCAGCCGTTTCTATTCCAACTGAGCCTTTTTCTTGTTGTAAGGAATTAAACACATTCGTCCCATGAGTCCTTCTGGTGCAATGGTCTGCATAGCCATCGAAATGTTGAATGCTTTTATTATTTTTAAACATACTATTCTGCAAGAGATCAATTGATTTTTCACATTTACCTCAGAGAAGAAACTAAATAATCTCAATATCAGGGCAGCGCAAATGGAATGGAACACTGAAAGAAATTTTAATTCTTTCCAAGAAGAGTTTCAAGCATTTTGGGATTAAGAAATGATTCAATTTTCAAAGGCATCGAGAACTGCTTGATGATAAGCAGAAAGCAGATCATCATATGGCGAATAATTGGATAAAAGATCTTTTATTTGGGCTACTAAATGGAATACAAGCGAGAAATTTACAATTTAGACGAAAGGAGAGAGGGACAGACCATTTCTACAAGAAGTTAAGGAAAAGCGAGGTTTAAGAAATACTGTATTGTTAACGTGCAATATTGTTGCAACGATTATTAAGATATCATTGTTTATTGTCAAAACCGAAAACACTCCATAATAAGAGTAAAAAATCCACCTCTAACCTACCAATAGCTACAAGAATTCCCAGATGGCAAGTAATATTTTTATTGATTATAATTAGAAATGGACAACAAGCTAAAGAAGTGAAAAAAATTGCTTTGTCGCTAGATAACTGGTCTGCACGTCCTTCTCATGTCGTCCTGAGAAACAATAATGTTCTCTTTGAAAATTCAACAAATTGTAAAATTCTTAAAGCCTTTCAAATGTCATTATATGTCACGTATCTGGCTGCGGTGAGCCAATCAGCTGCCTTGCAGAGTCCAGCAAGTGAGAGAGACGACATTTGCATGTTAGCCTCAGAGGAGGCAGGTATATTAACTATGTTGTAGGAGCGAGGTAGTGCTCCGAGTTTACTATTATTCTTTGAACGTTCATTTTTTTTTTCCATTACTCTTTGAACGTTAAGTTTTAATAAATGTTTGTTTCGTTTTCCTTATGGTGCCTTATTCATCCGTAAGGTCATTACATTATAGAAAAGATATAGTTTACAAAATTAAAAATAAATGGAATCTTGTGAAAATGCAAGCAGTTCAAATGAAGTAACTTTAGCTAACGAATTCGATAGCTTTGCTAGAGGCCATGAATATTTTAGACAGGGCATGGGGGACAGTCTTTAAAAATATATTTAGAAATAGCCTTTCAAAATGCAGATTTATTTAACAGAATCTTCAGAGAAACTGCGAGTTTAGACAACGTTTCGCAAATCAATGAGCTGTGAAGAAATATTTTTAGGATGCGTTGCAAATGACGATAATATTGAGACATCATTATGAAAAAACTAATATAGAAATCGCCTTATATTAAACTTATCGGCTTAATTAAGATGTTTAGACCAAAACTGATTTAAAAAGTTGTGGGTACTGTACTTCCTTTTGATTGTCTTTAAACAAAAACGCTTGGCCGAAGTGTTTGTGATTCCGACTGACTTCTTACAACAACTTGAACAAGAATCACCTTTTTTATGCCGCCGTGATTTAAATTTATATTTTTATATTGCGATATAAATTAAAGACATTTTTAATAAATGTGTAAACATTTTCAGAGATATAACTTTATAAATTGTTTAACTACGCATATTCCTAAAGCAGGCAAATTTCAACAAGTCTCTCAATTTTGGTCACCATTTATAGCTCTGAATAATTACTGCATTATAATTTAGGTAGAATGTAGGCATTATCAACCATTTCATAAAGTCAGACGATGTCCATCAAAATAATGTAAATGTAGTAACAATCACCGGATCTCATTACCACAGTTAACTTTTTAAAAGGTTGTGTTGTCCATACTCACTCAGCAACAGACTAGTAATTCTTACAATTAACATTTGATTCTAATACGCTTACTTGTAATGTAAGCATATTAGAATCAAATGTTTAAGGTCCTTTAAGGATCCTTAAACATTTGATTCTAATATGTTTAAGGTCCTTTAAGGATCCTTAAACATTTGATTCTAATATGTTTAAGGTCCTTTAAGGATCCTTAAACATTTGATTTGCCATTAATTCATTTGTTTAAGGACTTATCCTTAAAAAAAGTCATTAAATTCTGCAACTGTAATGCTGAATTTAGATTTTGAAAATGAAATTTTATATCATTATTAATTTTAGAATATCTTTTTCAGATTGCCCGACTGCTGCTGGCCGAAGATGCTTGCTGTTTTACGATGTAGTTAGCATTTATTGACCATGCTTCAAGCTTCCGGGCACCAAAATGAAACATTTTCAGTGACTTCCTCTGAAACGGACGATGATTTTGACAGCTCCTGGGATATCACTACAAAATGTCTCATTGGTATCCCACTGGCCATCATCATCTTTATGTCAATAACTGGTAACCTTCTTGTCTGCCTGGCTATATATACCGATAGGAGGCTTCGAAAATTGGGTAATCTCTTCCTCGTGTCTCTAGCATTAGCAGATCTCTTCGTGTCATCGCTGGTGATGACTTTTGCCGTAGCCAATGATCTTATGGGATACTGGATGTTTGGCCCTCAATTCTGCGACACGTGGATTGCTTTCGACGTTATGTGTTCCACTGCATCCATCCTTAATTTATGTGCTATCAGCCTGGACAGATTTATTCATATTAAAGACCCTCTTCGATATGGTCGTTGGATGACAAAACGGGTAGTACTTCTAGCCATAGCTGGTATTTGGCTTATGTCTGCTTTGGTGTCATTCCTTCCCATTAGTCTTGGTTGGCATAAGCCAAAAAAGATGACGGATTCTGAAGATGAGGAGCTGCGCCCAACATGTGCTCTGGATTTGACGCCCGTTTATGCTGTGGTTTCATCCATCATAAGTTTCTATGCACCATGTGTAGTCATGGTAGCTTTGTACACGAGACTGTACTTGTACGCGCGAAAGCATGTACGTAATATACGAGCGGTTACTAAGACTGCTTCTAGTTCAAAGGCCTCTGGTTCGAAGGGATTCAACAGCAATCACACGAATCATCATCATCACCATCAACACATGGACCACAAAGCAGCAATCACTTTGGGTTTCATCATGGGGACGTTTCTTGTATGCTGGGTCCCTTTTTTCTGCATCAATATCGTGGCTGCTGTCTGCAAGTCGTGTATCTCAGACATGGTGTTCAAATTTCTCACGTGGTTGGGTTATTGCAACTCCGCCCTCAATCCTATAATTTACAGTATTTTCAACTCTGAATTTAGAGATGCTTTCCGGAGGATTCTTCTCACTTATTTGCAAGCTGAGTGCTGCTCCACAACCCTTTGCAGCGGTGGTTCTACTGATCGTTTCGACGCAAGACGTGCCACTCAAGGAGGCGGTGGGGGCATTCGACCTCCCGCCAGTCCAGATCCTATTAATAGGATTGAAATGCAAGGGAACTGGTCTGGAAAATCATCGGACGTTTAAACTGTATCCCAACTTGAATGTGTTTCATTGAAATGGTTTTCAGTTCGATTGCATCCATGTCTTCAGAAAGTGAGCAGGTTCTCTTTAACATTGATAAGATTAGTGAAACTCTGAGATCGTCATTTCTGGATTTTTCTCAAAGTCCTGTTTCTAGTTTATCTGTACAGTGCATTCATGTAATTTATCATTTAAACTACTTATTATTTTGATTACTAAAACGCATTATTTGCACCGATCAAACTTTTAATATTCATTAGACTAAATGAATGAGCTTACACTATTCTTTGCACGTTTGTATTAGACACTAGAACCTTATGAACATACTTTGGTTGCCAGATAGCTGATTAGATTATTTTTAATGGAATATCTGAAATATAGCAATATTTCGAAACTGAAAAAAGGAACTTCAGGTAGAATCAGAAAAAGAATTTTTGATTAAATAACCTGAATACTCTTATCTTAGAAAACCAAGCAGCCACCCATAGTTTGTACATACTTTATTGATCTCATAGGTTAAGCAACAATTATATGTTTCGTGTTTGTTATCTAACATCTAACATAAGTTGACAATAGTATCTTAATGACCATGCAGTTGGCATATCCTTATATAACAGAGATGCTGTTGTTATTATAAACTTACATAGGTTAACGACATGGTTTGATTAATATAATTTACCACCTTTCATGAATTCATATTATTCCAAAATCATTTGGGTAATGAATTGCAGATGTAATGTACTACTTAATAGCTGCTTGTGTCATGCACAGTGTATTGTATTTGCAAATGTTTTCTAGGGATAATGTAATGGATAATTATTGACTTTCTAAGAAGAATTATTATCCATAATGTTATTCCTGTCACAAAAATAAGTCTTAGGTTATTAGCGATTTACCATCTAAGCTTTCCGTAAAGAGGAACTTTTTAGTAATCGCTATCAGTTATTTAATAAATTCATGCCAGCTAATTTATTCTCCCAGTTTTCCAATGTTCTTTTAGTAATCATTTTATATGAGACTTTGATAAAATTCTGTATGTTAAAAAAGCACTCTGCACTTGGTAGCTTAGAAAAGTAACTATTGTTTCGACGGTTGTGTCATACTCAGGAGCAGAGCCTTACCGAAGGTGGTCCTTTAAATAACTTCAGGCTAGAAAAAATATTTTATTTTTAGTTTAAAAAATGAGAGGGGTTTGTAAAATTAAAATGTAATAAATCAGATATTTATAATGCATTAATAGCTATTCATACAGCACATAAAAATATATGTGCTGTATGAATAACTATTAATGCATTATAAATATCTGATTTATTTATTATGATTTATGATATTTTCCTATAGTATTAAATTCTGTCGTCGAGGCTTTGGTCAAGAGAATGAAATGTTTTGCACCTTATATCTTTCTAAAGTTATTTTATTTTGCTCCTTTTTTTTTTTTGTTTTCAAAATGGTATATTACAATAAGGACGCACAATCATTGAGCTTTCAGAAATGGCCTTGTAAAAATGAGTTACAAAAGTTAATTTATATAACTAAATTTAATGTTGAAGATAAAACGTATATTCAGCTTATTCATAAAACCAGAAGGAAAAAGAAGTTTCTTCATTTTGTTTACTTTCATTGTTTTCTTTATTGACTAAACAGCAGAGAAATAATTACATATTTCATGTAGAGAAAAAAAATTTGCAAAAGTTAGATACATATTAGAAGTACTCTTTTACGTGTTTGCCTTCCTGTTGAAAATATTTGTTATAACGTGACACCACTTTGTCAAACTTGCCGCTTAGCCCATTGAACTTTGTGTCACTCAATCATCACTCAGTTTCTGTTCTTTGCTGATACCATTTAATCACAATATTATCACTTATGAAGTTTATTCAAAACTATCTATGATGAACCAATTACGCTAAGTTTCAGGTGTAGTTTGAACACCGGCTTGAAGAAATCTAAACATGGAAGATGAAATTTCAAGCACAGTTTAAAGAAATATAATGATGAGAGATGCAGTTTCATTTGCGGGTTTAAATTTCAATTTGAGGAAATCTAATGATGAAGGGTAAAATTTCAAATGCGGTTTGAGATCCAGATTGAAGAAATTTAATGACGGAGGATGAAACTCCATTTGCGATTTCTGTTTTAGCTTGAAGAAATCTAATAACTGAAGATGACATTTCACAGCTTGAACTCCAATCTGAAAGAATCTAATGACGGAGAATAAAATTTCAAGTGAAGTTTCATATTCAGCTTGAAGAAATTTAATGACAGAAGATAAAATTCCAAATACAATTTGAAATACGTCTTGAAGAAATCCATCGACAAAGGATGAAATATCATTTGCGATTTCAACTTCAGTTTGTTGGAATCTGATGAAAGAAGATGAAATGTTAACTGCAGTTTGAATATTCGTTTTAAAGAATCTACTGACGGAGGATGAAATTTTAATTCCAGTTTCAGTTTTAACTGGAAGAAAACTAATGACAGAAGATAAATTTTCAAATTCAATTTGAAATCCATCTTGAAGAAACCTAATGACGGAGGATGAAATTCCATTTGTGACTTCATCGTCTGCTTGAAGAATTCTAATAACGGAAGATGAAATTTCGAATGCAGTTTTAACTCTAACTTGAAGAAATCTAGCGCCGGATTGAGGTTTCAACTTCAACTTGAAGAAATCTAATGATGGAACATGAAATTTCAATTTCAGTTTGAAGAAATCTATTCCTGGTGCTAATCTTGTACATGGCTAGAGTTACGATTCTGTTTGACATATTCATACTCACGCTACACGAATATGATTAAGCAAAAGGGAGAATTGTTTGAGCAAATGATATAATAACATGTATCTAACTTTTGTAAGAACTGAAACATATTTTCTATTTCCATGCTATTTGGAATTTGATTCAAATATAGATCGCAACAAATATCTGAATTTCAAGATGATTATATTTTAAAATTTTAAAAAGTAATTTTATTTAATCGTGAAGAATATTTTTCATTCTTTTAAACACTTTAAAATTACCAGTGTTTATAATGGTTGAAATATTATAGTATTTCTAAAAATCAAGCATTATTGAATAAGTCTTGTGTGGTTCTTGAATTTCAATGTAGTAGATTTTATAGATGATTTAAAAAAACATAAGTCTTCTCTGACTATACGCAAAACCACAATATAATATGTGTGTAGGAACCGATTATGACAGCTAAATTCTAAGCAGTTCCTAACATGATCTTTTATAAACATAAAACATGAATCTATTTCTATTTGCTAAAGTTTACTGTAGCAATAACGTTTGTATGTATTCCTTGGGCTGAAAATCAAACTGATAAACATGGTGAACATTAGCCATATATCATATATATTTTTAATTAAAAAATGTGATATTTGTATTTAAAAGAAATAATTGTGTGTTTGGCATGTCAAAGGAAAGCTTGACGCCTACTAAACATTAAAAGATATAGGAAAACTTCTAAAAGAAAGTTCTGTAATTTGAATAAATGTAGAATTCGTTCTTAAGTAAATAAATACAACACAACATTATAAATTCATTTATTGTAATGTATTTATTTTTGCCTGCTTCTTAACGTCTAAATAAGTTATCTTTTTTATGCATATGCTATGGTGTATTAGACATAGGTTAATGTAGCAATGTTAAACTCAAGAATGTTCTAAAATTTTTTTGGGGTAATTTATCATGACATTCATATAATCATTCAAAAATTTAAAAAGAATGGAAATTCTTATTTTTCCACCTTTAGGATTAGAATTCAGATGCTTTTTACATTACGACTGCCGTATTAACTATGATAAACAAATGCGAAAGAGCTTAATGACTTCTCCGTGATTATCAAAACCAAGACAAATATTTTTCGGGAGCTAAGAAACAATGAAAATTAAAGGCAGAATTTAAATGTTTCATTGTAAAATATAATTTGAATGCGGTTGGTCTGCTACAGTGGCTGATGCAGCGCAGAGTTTGTGTATACTTGTTAAAATATAGATCATCAGAGAGGATGGTCTTGAATTTAAACAGTTTTACTAGAAAACATACACTGCTTGACATTGAAAATGCAACACCAAGAAGGAGTGGTCAGAAAGTGATGAAATTTGAAAAAATGACAGAGACAGCAAGCAGCAATAAGATCTTTATTTCAAAATGATAGTCAGAATACAGAGCGAGAACGACGTCGGCTCAGTAGGATAAGTGATAAGTGACGGGGAACGTGGGCACTGTCCCTTTACCATAGTCATTAATCAGTACAGCACCACACCCACCATTATTTAGATAACAACATTAACATATACATGGTTCGAGGTACATATGATGCAACTACAATATGAGAAGAGATTGCAATGTTACAGTTGAAAGATTAATACAATATGTACATATTTATATAGTGTTACTATTGTGGCATAAAACGATGTACATAGAAGGAATAATTACTCGTACATCTCGGGGGGGGCAGATATAAACAATATAACATATACAGGTTGTTAAGCGACCAGATGACATTCACAATAGTGATGTTATACCAGAGGTACGGATATATGTTGGACAATTTGCACGACCTGCATGACATGTGAGGACTACGAGCTAAATGATACAATACAATTACCATACAAAGTACAAGTTATAATATTACGTACAGACAGATTATAACACCGCTGTTAATGTGAACTACAACTTAAAATAGGTAAAACAGCAGTAGGATGTAGGACCACCGCAGACAGCGATGCACGAAGAAACACGTCTAGGCATAGAGTCAATAAGAGTGCGGATGGTGTCCTGAGGGATGGCTCTCCATTCCCTTTCAACCATTTGCCACAGTTCGTCTTCTAAACGAGGCAGGGGCAGAGTCTTCCAACGGCGTCTAATTACATCCCACACATGTTCGATTGGTGACAGGTCAGGAGAGTACGGTGGCCAGGGAAGCATCTGTAAACCTTGCAGAGCATGTTGGCAGATGCGAGCACTGTGTGGTCGGGCGTTATCCTGCTGAAAAATTGTATTAGGCAGCACCTGAAGGTAGGGGATTGGCACCGACCGCAGTACATTATCCAAGAATCGTTGGGCCGTCATAGTACCCTGAATACGAACTAGAGGTGATCTGGAATCGTAGGCAATAGCGCCCCAAACCATTATACCACGTTGTCTCGCGCGGTGGGGCGTTCCACAGTTACTGCCGGATTAGATCTGTCTCCACGTCGACGCCACAAGCGTAAGCGGCGAATGTCACTGGATAAACAGAAGCGTGAGTCATCTGAGAACACGACGTTTCGCCATTCTGTCATCCACATTGCTCCAGTCCGGCACCATTCTAAACGTTGTCGTCTATACTGTGGGGTCAATGGCAGTCTTCTTAACAGACGCCGTGAGTAAAGGCCACGTTCAACCAATCGACGGAAATGGTTCTGATCGACACGGGAATATCCAGGGTATCTTGCACATGCTGCAGAATCGCGGTACAAGTGACTTGCGGGACCGCCACAGCTTGTCGGCGGATGCGTCGATCCACGCGTGCTGACGTCCCTCTGGCTGCACCTGCACCCCTCCTTCTTCCCACATTTCCTTGTTCCAACCATGTTCGCCATAGCCGATGCACCGTGCTCGCATCCATGTGGGTATTAGCTGCGATTTGACGTAAGGACCAACCCGGCCTTCTCAGTCCGATCACCATACTCCTGGTAAAATCGTCTATCTGCTGGAAATGCAATCGTTGACGGCGGCCTGGCAATTCTCTCCTATTACACATATCCTCTGGGATAAAAACGAACTTTATTCGATAATTCGTCTGGCAGAAAACCACACGAATGTTGCCCATTCTGCGCGTTCTTTTCCTTATATCTTACTTCACGTGCGTCGGAGAGCTGCGCATTTCACATCATTCGCATAACTCAGTGACGTGCGTCTACTCTAAAATTTGCATAAATTTCTGACCACTTATTCTTGGTGTTGCATTTTCAATGTCAAGAGTGTATTAGACGGAGACTGACAATTTATATTGCAAAGTGAACGTTAAAGTTCACATTTTCTTTCTTTTCATTGTATTAATGAATTCAACCCAAATCCTTTTGCTTGAGCTGCAAAGCTTATCTTACTTCTGTTTACATACGCTGGATCAAGTATAGTGTAATTGTAGCAAAGACAGCAAATCATGAATCTTAGTAGATGGTTTTATCCCATAAATTAGACAAAAGTTGCTTTAAGCACCTATAAAAGTATAAGTCCTGAGTAACAGAACAGAAACGGGTTTATGATAAAATATTTAGTATCGACCGGCTAAGAGTCTAAACCCCTCCATGGACTTTAAGACCCCTGCCTTACATGGAGTCGTCTGCAGTTTTACTATGTTGGTGGAGCGGAACGGAGACAATGTATTGTTAATATTGCGTGTAATTATAAGAAGAAGAATATTAGGAAGTAATGTAATACTAGGTTCATCTTTTTCGAAACCCTGTATTGTCAAATTCTTTCTTACGTTGGCCAATGTTTTGTTGCACCAATGCTGTCTGGAGTTGTGATCAATTTATAGAAGGATAGCATTCTGTGAAATGTCACTAGTGCGCATTCCATGTATTTTTAATGCAGCTTGGTGGAGCAAGCTGGCCTCTTAAGCAAATGTTATCACGAATTTCATGTTATTTACATAGAGATGACAGAGGGCGAGGACATTTGGTGGATAATAGAAGTAAGCAGGTATACATCCCACGTCCTGCCATGGCTGGAAGCAACAACTCCGTGGAACTCCATTGGAGTACTCTTTGGGAGTTAAGTGTATACAAATACAATGAGTAAAGTGAAAGCAGGATAATTGGGTATTACAAAAGCTAGTTTAAAGGTTTGCTTAAGTTCGCCGTTTATCGTAATTCGCATGACTATACTATAATGCACTAAGTGTTCAGATTGCTCATGGAATACTCTACAGCTCTTCATTGCAGAATGTATGCTGTGGTTTGTTGACTCAGTGAGTAAAAGTCTTATATGACCTGGCAGATGTCCTATCCATTAGCTATTGCAGACCTGGACAGGACATCTGTAAGGTCATATTAGACTTTCAGTTAGTGAGCTACTCCCGCTTTAGTATTTATTCACAGTAAAAGGCTTCGTGTGTTTTCATTCTTAAAAATGAACCGAGATCCATTTTACATTTTGAATTAGTTTTGCGCAATGGTAACTTCTGGTTCCCGTTTTCACACATGAAAAGGTGCTCTGCAAGGTCCTGCACTAGATTATCGACATTGCCAAAGCATACTTTTCAAGACCTTAAACCCTTGTCCTTAAGAAGACGCGTTCTCAGTCTTCGTACGGATAACTTGCCACTGAGAAAGAAGATATACATATGTCTCTTGAAACTCATCTAACCAGTATATTTATTTACAGATAAAATTCATTCAGCCAACTTTTGTCCTTATTAAGAAATAAATTTATGAGTATTTTAAAAAAGCATTCATGATGGGAAAAGCGAAAGAGCATTGTTTTCATGTAAAATTAGATAAAAAATAAAACGAGATACTTTAATTCTCAGTCAACAGACTATTTAACTGATTATGTGAAACACGATTTGCAAATAAGAAATGTACCTCTCTCTCCACAACACTCTTTGCTTTTGAATTAAAAGCATAGTAGTTCCATGTATTCAATAATTCTTAATAAGGATGTTAAGAACATCTTATAGAGTCTCTTGCAAAGAACATTTTAAAGATTTACGACATAATTGCGATTAACGAAACCTGATAAGGAGTAATCATATCTAAAAGAACATTTCTTTCTTTCAGAAACATTTCTTCGATTGATTACTGTCCCAGACAAAAGTATGGAACAGTAATCAATTATGCTGACTGACTGGCGTCAAATATTATTACAAGAAAAATCATAATGCATTTCTCTGAAAACTGTAATATTAAACTGGCTTCGTATTTCCTTGCCAAATTATGCACGCAAAAACTTTACGTTTCCTAATTTTCTAACATATTGTTGGTTTCCTTTATTTATCAGTTTTCATCGGTTCCGTTGCTAATTTGTCACTGTGAATTACCGTATATTCCGAATATATATTGAACTGTGTATAAATTAAATAGTAAAATAGTGCGGAAATTTCAGCTAAAATTGAAAACCCATGAATAAACCGGATTTAAAATTGCCCTATAAATTCAACTATTCCAACAACAAGAAAACAGCGTTGAATTGACTGAGCTTTAAGAGAAAAACTGTTAGAAACTGAACTTTAACTTCTAGTGATTGAACACTATCACCTTCAATGTAGTTAGACTTAACAAACTAGCTGAATGTGAATCTCTATTTCTCATCCAATATTATCCATGAAGTGGGTGTAACCACGATAGGGAATGGCAGACAGAGGAAGATGCCATCCACTCAAGCTTGCCTGTAGAAAAAAATCTTAGAATTGCTAGAAAATTTCAAATTGGGTGCTGATATTCAGAATTTGATTCAATCTGTAGTAAATAAAATTAAAATATTTTTTTCAAAGTATAATATTTTTTTCAAGTATGCGCTTCTGTAATCAAATTATTTGTGAATTGTTTTAAA